TCAGAAAACACTGGGTGACTAACATTCTCCCTTTTCAGCACCATGCAGGTGCTCTAGAAAGACAGACTGGGTGGGACGGATAACAGACAGAGAAGGGGGAGAGGAACTGCAGGCAGTAGAGTGAACCCGGCATCGGCTGACCAGGACCTGGCCCCTTGGGGCCCTCCATTGCCCCAACCTCATCCTTCATTATTCAGGTCTCACCTAACAGCTGGCGGAGGAGAAATGTTCTCATCTTGGCTTCTCAGCCAGCCTTCCGTGGTGTGAGATCAGATTCACTTGAACCCAGTGTTTGAGTTCATGAACATTTTTAAAATATGAGAGAGGTGATCAACCCCAGACAGTAGGTTTTAAGAAAATTGAATTTAGTTCTTTCGGCTAGGTAGCTGCAAGAGCAGTCAGCGAGGCCGATTTTCCATCTGAACTACCCCGCCAGGAGGGCTTCTTAGCTACTGTTACATGGGCGTGACATCTTACTTGCAAAATGCAAGAGACTCACATTCTGCCTTTAATGGTAATTTTTTTAAACAAAATCTATATTGTTCTTATACAGAAAGCCCTGGAATTTATTCTCGTCATCTCTGATTCCCTCCCTACGTCCAAGACCCCACAGAGTAAGGGCCTGGTTGACAAGCCCTGATTATGGGGCAGCGAGAACACCCCACACCCTGACATCCCTGTGAATGGACACCTGTGCGTCCCCAAGTTTACAGACGTCACACGTAGCTCCCCGGCTCACGACAGTCAGAGATGGCGCCCTAATGGGACTCAGAGCTTTGGAACCCAGCCTCTCGTGTGTGAGTCTCAAACGTGACTTTACAATCAAGCAACCCTCAATTATGAATGAGGCGAGACCTCCCAGCTTGCCTGTCACAGACCTTGTTGACAAATTCCCTGCCGGAAGGAATGCCGTGCGTGCATCCTGAAGTTTAAGAAAAGCCCCCGCGGCGAAAGTCCTGCAGCTCCCCGAGAACCGGCCCCCAACCAGTGTCCTCGCTGCTTATGACACTCGACCACTCGTTGAAGGTGACCGAGGAACAGTGACCTTTCACAAGCTGGCAGCACTTTTCAGCAAATGAAAGCCCTCCTTCTCTTAGGATCTAATGGGGGGACTGAGTTTCTCAGGAGGCTGGTGCCCCGGCGCTGTGGAAGGTGAAGGATGCTGAGGCCACTAAGAGCTCTTTCTGGATGAGAGGAGGAATTCGGGGGGAGTTTCTGTCCAATACAGACTTTCTGGGAAATTGAGGGGTTTGACCAGTGATCCCAAGACAGCATGGAGGAGGGCATGGCGACCCACTCCAGTATTCGTGCCTGGAGAATCCTGTGGACGGAGGAGCCTGGCAGGCTACAGTCCACAGGGTCGCAAAGAGTTGGACACAACTAAAGCGACTGAGTACACGCCCCAGGACAGGGTGGATCAGCCCATTGAGTTTCCGCTCCCATCCTGGGTGCAGATCACAGTCAGCAGGCCAAAGCAGCCGGGGTGTCCCATGGACCCTGTCCTCACAGGACGAAGCCGTCTAATGCCGGAAGTGAGTTTTCTCAAGCAGGGTGACAGTTGTTTCCTGGGGGGCTGTTAACAGGTCCCACATAAGCTTATCCTCTCGTAGTTCTAGGGGCCACAGTCCCAGGTCAGGGTGCCCACAGGCCGTGGGGGCTGAAGGCTCTGCGAGGACCTGTCCCCACTCTGGCTTCTGCTGGGTTGCTGGCCACCCGTGGGGTCCCTTGACTCGTGGCCGCCGAGCTCCAATCTTTGCATGACATCCTCCCCATGCATATGTCTGCACCCAGATTTCCCATTCTCTTGGGGACACCAGACCTACTGGATAAGGGACCCAGAGTAATGACCTCAGCTTAACTATATCATCTGCACAGACCCTACTTCCAAGTAAGGTCATGCTCACAGCACTGCGGGGCTTAGGAGGTCAGCACATCTTTGGGAGGAGCAATCCAACCCCATAACACAGCACTGATAGAACTGCCTCTGCAAGAACCACTGGATAAATCAACTCGATAAAGGAACATAAATGTGAGGCAAGGTGGAGACTTGAATTTAAAGACTCCATGACCCTCTATCTGGACAGGCATCTTCCCAACAAATACCTCAGAGGCAAAGCCAGTGCCTGGACTAACATGAGATGTTCACCCTGGATGGACACGGAGGAGGAAAAGTCTCGGGGCTGGCTGAGAACCTACACTCCCTGCCAATCTTTGCCTAAGAAGAGGTGTGCACGTGGTCCCCATTGACACCATTTCAGAGATGCGTGGTTCATCACTTACTGGTTCTGCTGCTATTTTGTCCAAGGCTGGACTCCACTGGGCATCCCAGAATGTGCCCTCTTGGGGGCTCACTGCTTTCAAATGCTGAGAGTGACATGTAACAATACTGTGGTGAATTTAAACAAGGATCCCGGGCACAGCACAGGGTACTCTGTTCAATGCTCTGCAATGACCTAAATGGGAACAGAATTGGAGAAGAGACACGTGTGTAAGCAGAACTGAATCATTTTGTTGTACACCTGTAACTCTGTTGTGCACCTGAAATGCTGTGTACAACACTGTAACTCAATTTAGTCCAATATGCAATCAAAATTCATAAAGAAAGAAACAGCAGAGGTGATGATCCTGAAAAGCTGAACTCTGTTAACATAAAGGTGTATTCTGCCTCTTTTGGCTTCAGACTAAGGGATGCCCAACCACAGACACGGATTGGAATGTGACTGCAAATATTGCATCTTTAAAAACATCGTGACAGATGACTTTTGTACTCTATTTTTCAATTATTGGGTCTCCGGGAAATGTTTGGCATTTTAAAGTGTTTTGTGCAGATGTGGTATTTTTGGTTGTATTTTTTCAATCAGATTTCAATCTTGGCTTCACCTGTTATCACAGCAATCTCCGTGTGATGTTCGTGAGGAAAATATGACTTAATGCTGCTCTGCACATTTTCATTTTCACTAGCTCAGGTGATCAGGAAAAAAAAAAGATCGTAAACAAGCAAACGTTGAAGGTCAGGAAAGGAAAATAGAGATCATCGATATTCACAGTGATTCCACTCCTGACTCATGGTGATATGGTGGCTTAGACTTGGTATTTGGAAATACCCTTTAATGGGTCACTCTGTTTTCAGGAATTTGAACCATTCCAACAACAACAAAAAAATGAAACCCTGCCTTGTTTCCTATCCCAGTGACCTTTCAACATGATTTTATTCCTCACGATTTGTTCTCTACCACTGCAGGCTGGCTGGCTTCTTCAATCAGCCTCCCCACCTATCAACTGGGCTTAGCCTCTCAAAAATCCTATTTTCCCCTAGTGTTGATGGGTTTCCTCACCCTCCACTTTTCAGAGAAGTCAAGGCACCCATTTTTCCCCAAAACCTTCAAGATGGCATTGGGTCTCCTCACCCCTCAGGATCCCTCACGCCCACCTTCCCTCTGAGGCCTGGTCTGAGGATCCAATTGCCCTCTGAGGAAATGTGTTAATTTAACAAGCAGATTCGTATGTGAACTTATCCTCCTGGAGAAAATTCTGATGGGTTGAAAGCGAAGAACAACTTCAGAAAATCTGGTAGTTAAGGTTTGTAACGGCTTCCCAGGTGGCGCAGTGGTTAAAGAATCTGCCAGCCCAGCAGGAGACACGGGTTCTATCCCTGGGTCAGTAGGGTCCCCTGGAGAAGGAAATTACAGCCCACTCCAGGATTCTTGCCTGGGAAATCCCATGGATAGAGGAGCCCGGCGGGCTACAGTCCACGGGGTCACAAAGAGTCGGACACGAAGGGGCGGCTGAGCACTAAGGCTTCCAACTGCAGACTTTTTTCCTCAGTTTGAGGGTGAGTGTACCTGGCCATTGGTAGCTATTAATGAACTTGGATGCTACAATTAATTAAATTTATTCTATGTAATAGAGCTAGTAAGCAGCTACTTGTTGGGGACAATGGATGTCTTGTCTCCAGCAGCAAGATATGCATTTAGTAAGAAAGTTATCCAAAAGGAATTCTCTGTTGTTCATGGTTAATTCTGCAAAATCAGCACAGGTTTCTTGAGTGCCTTCTACATGCCAGCTAGATTTCTTAAGTGCTTTATTTTTAATTATTTACTTTATTTTAATTGGAAGCTAGTTGCTTTACAATATTGTGGTGGTTTTCCCATGCATTGACATGAATCAGCCATGGGTGTACATGTGTCCCCCGTTCCAAACCTCCCGCCCACCTCCCTCCCTATCCCATCCCTCTGGGCCAGCCCAGTGCACTGGCTTTGAGTGCTGTTTCATGCATCGAACTTGGACTGGTCATCTCTTTCATATATAGTAATATACATGTTTCCATGCTATTCACTCAAATCATCCCACCCTCGCCTTCTCCCACAGAGTCCAAAAGTCTGTTCTTCATATCTGTGTCTCTTTTGCTGTCTTGCACATAGGGTCTTCGTTACCATCTTTTAAACAGTATCTTATGGAAAGCAGAGTGGCTTCTTAGATAATTAACAGAACAGGTATTTTAATACATTCAGCCCTTCTGTATTTGTGGATGTTGAATATTTTCACCCTCTTCCTTCCATAGTTAATTACAGTGCATTCTTTATGATGGACTAGAGTTCAGTAAGAAATATTTCGGTATGATTACTGCTAATGCCATCAGGCCTTAATCTTTCTCTTCCTCTTTATCCTACAAGTGCTTGCTAGCAGTCAGCCCAAGAGTCATGTGTCATTAAGTTGGGAAGGTCTTTGCATAATAGGATAAATGATGAGCACATTCAAAGGTCGAATGTTTTGAAGCTGAAATCATTGTAAAGCTACATACTGATTCCTGACTGGTCCCAAGGTCAGGAGAATCACCTTAATCATGAAAGTAACAGGGGTTTTAAAAAATAAAAAAGCACTGTGATGAAATCCAGTGAATTCGCCCCAACCTCTTGTTGAGATTTATGCCCCAGGAAGGTCCTGCTTTCTGTCATCCTGGCTGCATCAGTGTCTCTCTCCCCCTCCTGGGAGCAAATGCCTCAGGACCCAAGAAGAGACTGGATGTCAAGGATCTTGAATTTGTCAGAACTTTCCTCATCAGTGACTGTGATGGTGCATCGAGGGGGTGGGTGTAGCCCCAGTTGCCCTGAGCATCTTTCAAAGGCTTGCTCAGGCTGGGCTTGCTCCCATCTCTTGACAGAAGCATTCCTTCCAGCCTCGAACGGCTCCCAGTCTCTGCCAAGAGAGCCGGGACGTCAGCAGGTCAATCGGGAAGCGGGGGAGCCCGCCGCACCCCCAGGCCCACTTCCCCAGCTCTGTGCTTACTGCCCTCCTGACGGCAGGCTTCTGGCCCACGCAGAGCTCAGCCAGGGCGTGCGCTGGGTGGGGGTGAGGCTGGCCGACCCCTGCTTCTCGTCCTCTCAGTCACACACGCTTTAGTTCCCTGGGCGTCTGGTAGAAACCCACCAGCCAAGGGAGCGTGTCTCAGCCTCGACCTTGAGGCCCATTCTCACAGCCCCGCACCACTGGCCGCAGCATCTGCCCACGGGCCTGGGTTAAAGGGCCTCGGTGTCTATGCATCTCCCACTATTACGTCTGATTTCCTACATACACTTTTCTGACCAGAGATGGGCTGTACCCCCCTCACATGTGCTATTTTCATGCTGAGTGAAACATGCAGCCTGCAAAGTGAGTTTTTAAAATCCTGAGCGCCATAACTGTGGACGAAATCAGGAAGTGATGAAGAATTCCCCTCGGACTTTGCAGGTCAGCCCGTCACATGCTCCCAGTGACACACGAGGACTCTGCCCTACCTACCTCCTGGCGGGACAGAGGTTTCCGCCCAGTTGAACAAATGTGGGTGTGTCCTCTCCTTCTCCACAGATGCTCTTCCATTTTCCAATATGGTTGCCGAGCCCACCACAGGGAAATTCCGGGCCGAGCGTGGACGAGCCAGACGCAGGCAGGCTGCAGCAGCACCCCGGCCTTGACCCTGCACCGCGTCAGCTCAGCTGTGCCACACGGCAGCTTTTCTCCAGCTCTGCCTTCACCACACTCCCGGCTCCAATACACAAGAGGGACGGAACGTTCTAGATCTGTGTCCAGTGTTTGTTACGTGGTCATCCGTTTCTTCCTCTGAACAACTGGACAGTATTGCCACCTTCCTCGTGGAGTTTGTGTGAGGGAGTGAATGCAAAAGAACAAGGGGTAAACAGCCTGCCTTAGCACTATTACTGTTGGTACACCTGCTTCAGACTGGAGGGAAGTCCCACATTCCAGGCCCTTCAGACGGGTGTGACGTCCACACGTCTACGAGAAGTCCCTCCGCAAAGCAGATACGTCAAGTGGTGGGATTTTTCTTGGATGGTCCATGCAAGCTGCACCAGCTGGCGCCGACCCCAAACAATCACAGGTGATAAATAAACACTCACAACCTCTCCTGAGCTCCCTGGTTCCCGGGCAATGCGCTGTCGGCCCCTCTGAGAGCCCCAGCCGCAGCCACTCCAGCCTCCAAGCCACTCAGGCCGAGGCTGCGGGCACCACGTGGGCGCTCCGGGGCTCTGGCCACAAGCTCCTGAGTTTCCTCCACCTGGGCAAGGGCAGAGGCTGTGCGGGCCTGGCGTGAACTTCGGAGCCTCTGCCAAACGTAGACAGCAGTGCGTGGCGATGAGTCAGGCTCAGTTCCTCCCTCCCTGCCCCAGCCCCATCCAGCTAGGAAATCAATAGCCAGTAAGCTCTGGCAGCCAAAGGCCATTCCTGCGAAGCATGGTGCTCGAGTGGCCGTGACGATACTAACCACGTAATGGACACAGACAAGCCCCCAGGACAAAAATCGCAGGCACATCCAGGGGAACAGCCGTTACTGCTGAAATGAGGTAATTATTGTGGGGAAGACAGCCGTGTGCTGAGGTTCTGCCCGCTTACCGCTAACGGGGGTCGTGGCGGCGATTTCCGTCTGTAGCACAGATTTGGTCCATCCGTAAAGTTCTGGTTGTCTTGTAAGACTCAGGTTCAGAAGGTGGTAAAACTCCTCCAGAGCCTCCTGTGCTGGGGACGTGCTGGTCAGCACCCTTACTTCTGTGGGTTTGTTGATTGTGTGTGACGATACATCCCCATCGGTACCTGCCACTCAAGGGCCCGGGGCCCCTCTGGGCAGCCCTCCTGAGACCTGGGCCAGGGCTGGAGGGCCCCTCCCTCACCTCTCAGCCTTCTGTCTGTGTCTGGAAGGAAGGCCTTCATTTGTTAGCTGGACCGAAAGGGCACTGCCCAGAGGGGCTGCGACCCTCGCCCCCCTGCCCTCTGCTGCTCTTCTCTGAGGTCACCGGCACAGCGCCCTGCGACCCTCGCCCCCCTGCCCCCTGCTGCTGTCCTCTGAGGTCACCGGCACAGCGCCCTGCGACCCTCGCCCCCCTGCCCTCTGCTGCTGTCCTCTGAGGTCACCGGCACAGTGCCCTGCGACCCTCGCCCCCCTGCCCCCTGCTGCTGTCCTCTGAGGTCACCGGCACAGCGCCCTGCGACCCTCGCCCCCCTGCCCCCTGCTGCTGTCCTCTGAGGTCACCGGCACAGCGCCCTGCGACCCTCGCCCCCCTGCCCCCTGCTGCTGTCCTCTGAGGTCACCGGCACAGCGCCCTGCGACCCTCGCCCCCCTGCCCCCTGCTGCTGTCCTCTGAGGTCACCGGCACAGCGCCCTGCGACCCTCGCCCCCCTGCCCCCTGCTGCTGTCCTCTGAGGTCACCGGCACAGCGCCCTGCGACCCTCGCCCCCCTGCCCCCTGCTGCTGTCCTCTGAGGTCACCGGCACAGCGCCCTGCGACCCTCGCGCCCCTGCCCCCTGCTGCTGTCCTCTGAGGTCACCGGCACAGCGCCCTGCGACCCTCGCCCCCCTGCCCTCTGCTGCTGTCCTCTGAGGTCACCGGCACAGCGCCCTGCGACCCTCGCCCCCCTGCCCCCTGCTGCTGTCCTCTGAGGTCACCGGCACAGCGCCCTGCGACCCTCGCGCCCCTGCCCTCTGCTGCTGTCCTCTGAGGTCACCGGCACAGCGCCCTGCGACCCTCGCCCCCCTGCCCTCTGCTGCTGTCCTCTGAGGTCACCGGCACAGCGCCCTGCGACCCTCGCCCCCCTGCCCTCTGCTGCTGTCCTCTGAGGTCACCGGCACAGCGCCCTGCTCACCTGTTCCCACTCACCATCGCAGAAAAGTCCCCCCACAGCCTCCATCACAGGAAACTCACACTCATTTACTTTTGAAAGTAAATAAAAAGGAATAAACGATGACTGTGTGTGTTAGTCACTCAGTTGTGTCTGACTCTTAGTGACGCCATGGACTGTAGCCCACCAGGCTTCTCTGTCCATGGGATTTCCCAGGCAAGAACACCAGAGTGGGTTGTTATCTCCTCCTCCACGGGATCTTGATACCGGGCATTCGTCAACTGGCAGATAAGATTAAAATCTTTGCCAACAATGATCTGACATCCCAGTGCAAGGGACGGGTAAGCAGCAAGATGGATGAATAACACTGTGTATGTTCACTATACTAGGCTGCTCAGGTTGCCATAAAAAATGCCTCAAAATTGCCCCATGGACTATAGTCCACCAGGCTCCTCTGTCCATGGGAATCTCCAGGCAAAAATACTGGGGTGGGTTGCCATTTCCTTCTCTGGGGGATCTTCCCGACCAAGAGATAGAACACGCATCTACCGTGTCTCCTCCACTGGCTAGTGGGTTCTTTACCAGGAGTGTGACCTGGGAAGCCCATAGAATCAGGGCCCACCTCTAAGCTCAATGCCCTCCTGAGAGAGCCCATCACCAAGTCCAGCCACATGGGAAGTCAGGGCCTCAACACAAAATGTAGGGAAACCGTTTGGAGAAATGTCTACTTAGATCTTCCCCTCATTTTTTGATTGGATTTTTCTTTTTCAATATTGAGCTGCATGCACTGAGGTCTACGGATAATAAATACTGAAGAGGGAGTGGAGAAAAGGGGAATCCTCCTACACTTCTGGTGGGGATGTAAATTGGTGCAGTTAATATGGAGAATAGTATGGAGGTGGCTTAAAAAAAAAAAAGTAGAACTGCAGTATGACCAGGAATGCCACTTGTGGGCATATATCTAGAGAAAAGCATCATTCAAAAACATACATGCATTCCAGTGTTCATTGCAGCACTATTTACAATAACTGGCACATGTAAGCAACCTAAGTGTCTGCCAGCAGGTGAATGGGCACACATGTGGTACATGTATACAGTGGAATACTACTCAGGCACAAAAGTAATGAAATAATGTTGTTTGACTTAAGATGGATAGATCTAGGGTCTTCCCCGGTAGTTCAGTGGGTAAAGAATCCACCTGCAATGCCAGAGATACCAGAGATAAGGGTTCAATCTCTGGGTCAGGAAGATCCCCTGGAGGATGAAATGGCTTCCCACTCCAGTATTCTTGCCTGGAGAATCCCGTGGATAGAAGAGCCTGGTGGGCTAGAGTCCGTAAGTTTGCAAAGAGTCTGACACTATTGAAGCAACTGATCACACATGCTCAGATGGGCCTAGACATTATCATACAAGTCATGTAAGTCAACTAGAGAAAGATAACTGTTTCATTAATTTTTAAATGAACTCTAAGGGAAAAACATTTATTAAATGAATGGACTAAATAAAATTCAACAAGACTTCCACAGTTAGCAGCAAATCATGTGAACTCTTTTTTTCCTTTCCTATAAAATGTCTACACCCCTCCCCTACACTGGGTAGAAAGGCATAGTCTCTATGTCAATACCACATTACACTTCAGTGTCTCTTCTGAATAAGATAAATTGGTCCCACTCATTTCCATCTACATATTTGAAAAAATCCCAATGTAGACAATTTTTTTAATTGGAAGGATCACACTTAGAATATATTATTTAATCTAGGAAATACTGATTGCACATTATCTGAAAAAAAGAAAAAGAAAAACACTGGCATTGTCACTGCTCTTACTACCCGAAAGCATTGGAAAACATGGAAATGAGATAGATATAGATTTCGTCAGAACTATGGGTTAGCAATCTAACTATTGTTGAGTAAAAGCTGTGACATTGCAATGGATCCATACCTTTTTACTTACAAATTGGCAAGTACATATTAGCTATGGTTCACCATTTAATTTTCATCATTATAATAGATAGTAATTTATGGGATTATAGAACTAAAATATTTTAAGATTGCATTTGCTTATAGTCGAGAGTGTTTTGTGGGTTTGTTACGCTAAATTGTAGTGTATTCCTAGACAGGGCCGCTGGGGAAGCTCTCACCGTTATCTACCCAACACCCACCCATCACCTATCTGTCCTGTGCTGTGTAGGTCCCCAGCATGGCTGGGAAACAGCATCAGGTGTGTGTATTAGAGCTTCAGGAAAGAGCACAACATGGGCAGAGCGTGAGCCACAAATGGGCCAAGCTTCCTCCTCCCCAGATTGAAGAGGGGCATGTTTATGAACACTATTCGCCCTATCACATGATTCTTTTCTTCTAAATTCAAGTTTAAAGAATTGGACGGAGGAGCCCGAGAGTGAAGAGAGGACGGAAGAGGAGGAAGGGGAGAGGGAGGACTTGGAAGGGGGATGGGGAGAGGGAGAAGAAGACAGAGAAGGAGCAGGATTAGAAGTGGGAGGAAGGGGTGCAGAGAAGAAACAGAGAGTCAGAAGCCTTCCCCATGAGCATCCCCCCGGGGGATCTCAGCCCAGGCAGGCCCCATCGCTGGAATTGATTCCCTGCTACCGCCTACCTCCTTTGCGCCCACCGCAAGCACAGATGTTTCCATCCGCACGCATCCATCCTGGGCTCCATGGGAGGTGCTGAGTTCCCACAGACCATTTCATCTGGGTTTCTGTGAGCTCTCCCAGGAACTAACCTTTGATGCCGTTGCTGGGCCATGTAGCTCACAGCTGAAGCAAGGCAAGCTGGCCCCAGAAGTTCCCTTCTGTGGAAAGTGTCTGGAGAGTGGTTAACGCCTCCTTCCAGCTCTTTAGATGAGATGAGGGTAAACCTGGGCAGCTGCCACCCAAACCATCCTCGCCTGGGCAGGTGGCCCTGCAGCACCTGGTGCAAGACTGCTTCGCTGCAGCAGCCTCGGGTTTTCCGAGCAATCTGAGTGATCCTGATGCGAGTGAAATATGGTCATGATTGCTGCCACTTCATTCTGAGTGACTGGAAAGTTAAGCTAGTCAACTGGCAGCGTTTCAGTCGCTTCGCCCCCATTGATCACTCTCCCCTCTCCACCCTCTGAGTCCGTCTTTTTCCTTCTCCATCTCTTTCTCTCTTTCATCCCCAAAGCAATATGAAAAACGACCCCTCACTGAATTAAAAAGAACTAAGGAAGGCATAAAAACATCCCCTGTGTTTTCAATCACAATGCACATACATATTTTACATAGAAATTCTCAGAAAAAAAATACTCCTAATTTTCAACTGTTTTTTTTTCCGTTGCTAATAATAGCTACTATTAAAAGAAATTCTCTAAAAGTAACTATTAGCTATGGACAATATAAATAAAAATAAGACAAGATCTATTTATAGAATAATATTCAGAAACTATACCTGGGGAATAATTGTTTTTGAGCATTTTTTTAGCCCTGCAAAGTAAAATACCTTTGAAATTCATATA